GTGCTCTATCACTGAGCTCTTCAGCCCCACTTATTTAAAATTTGGATGATATTGGTGAATTGCTTTTACATGGGCCATGGCTTTATAAATGCTTGATGAAAAATCAATTAGTTAGTTTATGAATGGAAGAATGGAACCCACATGGAAAAGCCCCAAAGATTCATGGTTGCTCTAGTACTCACCAACATATACTGTATTATTGATTCTGGGTCACCTGGATCTACTCATAACTACAGTAAAATTATGAATTATACAATGGAATATTGAAGAATCTAGCTCTTTTTTTCTCCACAAAACTCAAATGTGGCAGATCATTGTGGAAAAACTTTGACTAATAGAGATTTTGATATATAATTTGACATGAATATGACAATAAGCAAAGACATGGAAGATAAATTTTTATATAGTGTTAGATTTCTCTTCTTCATATTATACTACAAGAAAAACTAAAGTGAAATTTAAAGGTCCCAATAATTTTCTAATTTAGGATATAAAATTTTATCAGTTATATAACATGGCTAGTTAAAAACCAAAACTCTAATAAAACTTTTATGTTACATGAAGACTTGGTGAGTTCTATATTATTATAAATTAATCTGTGTATTTTAAGGGTGAGTCCTCTGATTCTCCAACTGGAGTATTATATTACTTCCAAAGCTTTTGTTAGTTTAGGTATTGACAAGCCCATTCCAGTATTCTCACTTCATTGCTAGGATAAAGTAACAGAGTCAGATTTAGCATTATCATTATTGACCAATATATTAATTTGCACTAAACTAAATTCTCAATCCTTAAAGTAACAGTTCAACTGTTTTATAAATAAATCTATTCACTGAGCTTCTTCAATAAGTCAATGTACTTCTGAGTTGTTGATGGTGAGTTTTGTTTCCTTGTTGTGCTTGACAATACTCTCCAATGACCAATTTCTTTGTAATTGTTTCAGACACAAAATCTCTTGGTAAAAAATTTGTCTATTGAAGCCTTTGGGGGCTATATATAGATAACAGATTCCTCTCTCTCTCTCTCTCTCTATATATATATATATATATATAGAGAGAGAGAGAGAGAGAGAGAGAGAGAAAAATGATACAGAAGACATTTTTTTCCTGTGTCCATGGAAGAGGAACTTAAATTCTCTGCTGCCTGATTCTATTTAAAAGTTTAGGTGTTTGAAATAATATTCAAGGGAAGAATAGCTGGTTATTTACTTGTTTGGAAAATGTAAAATATGAACAGATGACTTCAGAGCATTCTAAGCTTGTGCCATAATATTTTGTCTTCTCACAAAATCATTTTCTTGAATGGTACTTTGGCACTCTTTTTGTTTTGTGTGCAGGCATGCTGATAGAAAATAACGGCAATATAAACACTAATATAAGGATACTATCTCATTTATAATCCATTTTATTACTTCTGAATCTAAGTCCTAGAAAAAGCTATCATATTATTAGTAAAAATTATTTTAATGATTGTTTTGATAACTTGGACACCTGGAGTCTCATAAATAGGTTTAGTTCCTGGTTTTGTCTGCTGAGAAGCTTGTAGCAAAATTCATGGCTGTCTTTTTTCCTATCCATTTCACCACCCATGAGATATTGTGAACATATTTGTGTGAAAAGATTTATCTTCCTAGTGTAATTTTCCCTCATTTTCTAATTTCTTTATGCTTGTCCAGTTCCACAATTTCTTTCTTTAGGCCCTGCAAAATATTTTTTGAAATTATATATATATATATATATATATATATATATATATATATACACACACACAATAACTATAATTAAAATACTTTAAAATAAAATTGAAAACATTTGCTGTAATCAATACAATTGAAATGTTTGTTTAGATAAACTTAGGATAAAACAATCACTATAGTGGTAACTGAAATTTTCAGGTGTGCAAAAAAATACTTACCTATACATTCAAATATTTGTAGACTAAATTAATATATTTTGGATGAACAGAACTGATAGAAATTCAGTAGAAATAAATAAACAGTTTAAAAGTAATTTAACTATACATACTCAAATTTTCTCCAGTTATTAAGTACTTGGAATAACTGGCAAATGTAGTTAATATGTTGAATTTAAATGCTTGCTTAGTTTAATTTTTAAAGAAACTGATATCTATCCTTTGAAATATGCGAGAATTGCAGCTTGAATCTAATTCCCCATCTAACAGGAAAGCACGTGAAATAAGAATAAACTTAACTGGACACATCTTCATACCACTCAAGCTTTCTATGTGACAAAGAGAGTCTAGAAATGTTTGCAGAAAATATTCTTTTTTATTTTAATGATTTTATGGCAAAGTTAGAACTTTACCATGAAACTATCTCCTTAGGTAATTTAGTCAGCAACTTCCTGGGGATTCTGATATAAAGAATTAATTTATGGCAAACTTTTAAATTTTCTCTTAACCTGTTTGTAAACTATAATCAGATTTTTTTCCAATTCTCTTATTACCAATCACTCCTCCTTTATACAATATTATAATCGCACTCCACTTTATATTTATAGAGCTACTCCATTTTACGTGCTGAATTCTAGCCTCCAAAACTCATGACATACTGATTGGCAGTAGCTCAGAATGTTAAAAATATTTGGAAAATGGCATTTAAAGGTATAAGTGTATTACAAGAAGTCAAGATGATGTCTAATCCAGTAAAATTATTGTCCCTATAAGAAAAATTCAGGACACAGACATGTATGGAAAAAAAGAGTATGTGAAGACCAAGATGGGCATCTATAAGCTAAGGAAGACAGGCTTCAGAATAAAGGAATCCTCCTTATACCTTGACCTTGGACTTTCATCTCCAGAACTGTGAAAAAATAAATTTCTATTGTGTAAACCACTAGCCTATAGTATTCTGTTTTAGCAGCCATAGCAATCTAATATTCCTGCTTAATTTGAAAGGAGCAATGTAAGATATTATCCATGTGGCAAGAAGCAGATTTCTGAAAGTAAAGTTTAGATGATTTTCATGAATCCCTAAAATTTACTATTGTTTGTTCCATGCACATGTTACTATATTTCATATTTTGATGGGTCATGGATATTTTGGGTCTTGTGTGTTTGATGTTTTATGGGCACTCATGCTGAGAACTGTCATTTGTAGGTCATGTGCTTTCTTTTAAATAGAGAGACAGCTCATAAAGCCTTTTTCTGCCTTTATGTAACTATTGATGTAAAGGGCATGTATGATACCACTCAGACCAAAATAATTGTGTCCCAGAATGCATTTTCTCCTTATTTATTTAAATACAACATCATTTAGAAAGGAGACATGACCACTCAGCTAGAGACCATATTTTGTCACCCTCCCTGAGGGATAGATAAGAGTTACACAAGTTTTAGAAAATGAGGTAAGAGCAGAAATATGTGTGGAAATTTATAATGTAGTCACAAGAGAGAAATGCTCGTCTTCCACTTCTCTATCTCTACTGTGGTACACTGGAGTTAAGGTGTGGCATTAGTAAGCAAGCTTCACACCCTGTGAGTACAAATACATAGAAGAGCGCAAAATGATGGAATTAAAAGGACCTAAATTTTGGAATGACTTCATATAGCAAAACTACTTCCTTTACTCTGAACTACTGACCTCACCTGAGATACAATACACCTCTATCTTCTTTGAGTGACTACATTGTTGGTCTATTTCTTGTAGTAGCCAAGCTGTACCTAAGCACATAATTATTTAATGAAAATAACCAAAAAAAAAAATAAAATAGAAATGAGTTACATGTTTAAATGATAAGGTGAAAATAAGACCAATGTAATTATTAATCTGCACTCTGTATTTTTATTATAATAATCTCACATAATACATGCTCCTGAATTAATAACCATAACTCAAAATCTTATCTATACCACTTAATCTATTTTCAATGGGAAGAAAATTAATTTTATTCACTACTACTTATTTGAAATTTTTTATGTGTTAAACTTTTAACCACTAGTTATCCTCTAAACCTACATAAATAAAACAGTTTTCAGTTTGGGTTTCATTATGATTGTAAGTTGCTATATGATGTACTTAAAATTTTCCAACTATGAATAATTTGAATAGACACACTGAATTAAAAATAAACCATAGATCTTTTTAAAAACCTAGTTAATGCACGCATCCATGTCTTTTAATTTTTTTAAAAATCAAGATGGCTCTTATTCTATTACATATTTATTTTTTTAACAAAATATTCTAATGCCTTGGCAAAGTTTGAGATGGGAAATATGCTATTAATATCACAAATTCCCTTTATATCAGCACACTTTCAAATAATCTAGTAACAAATCATCTGGAAAAAAAATTAAGCTATGAGTGCCATTACCTTAAATTCTAGGCAGCGATAAATGTCTGATTGGCTGTCAAAGAAATAGTAAGAATTTATCAGGTGATAATGAAAGGACACCCCATGGCCTTTGGTGATGGAAATGATACAAATCACTAGAGATTTTTTTTATTATTATGACCTTGTCAATTTGCTGATCTTTCAAGTTCTGTCCAGTCCAATTGTCCGCAGTCACTATGATCTTCTCCATTTCATGGTTGTATACAGTGTTCACCTGTGCAGTCTGTTCTTAGGTATGCTAGTAGAATATAAAGCCTCATTTCTGAACTGACTAGCTGAGCAATAAAATATATACATATATGTATATATATGTGTGTATATATGTGTGTGGGTATACATATATAAAGTTCTTAAGATCTATCTATATCTATATCAATATCTATCTATCTATCTATCTATCTTAAGAACTTATTTATAACCAACTTGATTCCAAATAAACTTTGAGGAGACTCTTGCTAAAACTTACCACTGGCTTTATTATAGTCTTGAAATATACAAAAACTACTATTTAATCTTTGAGGAGAGGGAAAAATTAAGCAAGATAATATTTATAATTCTATTATTGTTTCACATTAATACTTTCTTATAAAATCATATTACTATGTGTTTTCATATGTTAAATATAACCTGCAGTGATATGTGTTTTACCTTTCCCCAGGCAATTTCAGAATCCAAATTACTAGGCATTCCTTCAACTGCTGATCTCTTTGTCAATTCCATATCTGTAGCTGCCAGCCATTCTGTCAAGACATTCATTTCCTTCCGCATCTTACGGGACAACTTCAAGCATTTCTCCAACTGCTGTTTTCTTTCTGTTACCTGAAATGAAAGATAATAAAATGTAATATGGTTTACTTTCCAACTCATGTTTACTTACAGCTACTTAATTGGAACTTTCATATTTCTGTCATTTTAAATTAACAATTTCCTTCCATATCTTAAAATTGTGTTTTAGAAAAAAATAATGTATTCTGCACATTAAAAGTAAATAAAAACAGCCTTTAGCAGATAAGATTTCTTGTCCAAAAGATAGTATCTTATATCTGCTGTCATAGTAGGGAAAAAAATCCATATAAGCTTGTCTCTAATATGAATAAAAATAATTTATGGACAAAATTTGTAATAAATGGAATGATATAAGTCAAAATGAAATATGTCCCATTTCTTGTAGAAAACCTAGAGTCATTTGTCAAAGAGATAGGCAAGCAAGTTTATAATCTTCTATACATAAATGAGGCCTGTTCTTGCAAGTAAGGTATCAAAATGGAGAAATCATATTCCTTTCAAAAAGCAAAAGTATTTGTGTGATATTTTCAATTTCATCATCAATACAATTTTAAAGTGCATTGCTTTTGTATACAACAAGGTTAGGTTTCTTCCTCCTTAAATGTAATTACCACAAAATAGGGGGAAAAATGAATAAGAAAACAAAATTTTCACTCTCATCAATAGAGAAAATCATGTCTTAATCTTCTCTGCTCTTCTATTCAGTGTTTAAAACCAAAACCCAGGCTGGGGTTGTGGCCCAGTAGTAGCGCACTTGTTTGGCATGTGTGAGGCACTGTGTTCAATTCTCAGTACCACATATAAATAAATAAAATAAAGTTTTATCAACAACTAAAAATATTATTTAAAAACCCCAAAACCCCCTAAAAATAAATTATTTCACATTCTCACAAAGAGAATGAATTAACTTGTATTTCTCTACCACCTTCCCAGAATGTTTGTATATTTTTTAAGTTTGTTGGTCAATTTAATAAGAATCCCAGGGTCTTTTCCTAAACAGTAGTCAACTCATTAGCAAAACCAGATAAATTGTAAATACTCAAAGACAAGTTTCCTCCACTCATGGCTCTTTATATTATTGTGTTACACTCCATATATTTCCTTGAATGAAGAAACATCTCACACTATATTGTACAAGTTAAATAAAGCAATGAATGAAAACCCAAAAAAGTATTAATTGCAAGTCAGGAATGATAACCAGTAAAGAAATTAAAGTTTCTGTTTTGATTGTTATGTGTTTTAACTATAGGAAAAAAAAACATTCTGTCATGGAGGCTGGGAAACTTAGCATAAGATTTATAATATTTGACTCAATAGAGGCAGTATAATAAAGCATATGCATGTTAGACTCTATGATGCCTAGTGTAGTTTTAACCTGCCTGTGATTTGAGGGAAGATACCTCATCTTCCTATTTTCACATCCATCAAATGGAATTGTTCTGTTTGGCAGATAGGGTTATGCTGAGGGTCAAAATAGGCAACAGTTTGAAATAGATTGACATATCGTAACACTTAAATTACTTCTTTATTTCCATTCTGGGATGGCTCAAAGAAACTGGTAACTGAAAGTTCATGGCAAAAGTTTATGCCATATTAAATTTATTACTTTACTGGTAAAGAAAATCTTGAAAAGATTTGGCTTTGTTACTAAATGATCTGAAAAGTAGATTTCAAATTAATCTCACCCATAAGGAAATTGGTTAAAACAGTAACACCACCACCACTACAATTGCCCAGTTGAACAACATGCCCTAGATGTAATAAGTAGCACTAGTACACACACACACACACACACACACACACACACAAATTGTATACATGCATACAACCAAAAGAGAATGCATCTATAAGCATTAAAAGAACATCAAAGGTAAAGATATGCATAAAGAACTGAAAATGCTAAAATTAGAATAAACATCCTGAAACTCAAATATAAATTCAAAATATTCAACCAAGTTTATTAGTTCCTTTACAAGAGGTATGTATGCATTTAAAAAAATACTTAGTTGCTGAGGTTGCAAATTCATTTTTTTAACTGATTTTTCCCTTCTATTTTTCCTTTAGGAGTAGTAATAATATCTGCCCTTTTGACTGCAAGGATTTTATTTGTGGGGGGGAGGAAAAAGCATACCTTATGGTGTGTTTATATGCATAGTTATTATTTTTCTATATACTATTGGTAGAAAAGGATTCTAGATTTAATATTTCAAAGAAACTCTATCTTCCCAGAGCTAATGCATTATTGATTTCTATTTGTTTTATTTTGTTTTTGTCTAAATAGGTTTTGAAAAATCAGGAGACACTGCCACCTTAAGGAAAATTGAGTTTTATACTTTTTTATGCATGTGGAGAATAGATACATTTAAAAGAGTGCCACCTGCAGTAAAATGTTTCAGCAGTCATTGTTTTATGAATACTTACAATTATATTTGGGGGACAATATAAGTATTGTTATTTGTGTATATTTTCATAACAATCAAAGCATAGATCGACTTAGAAAATGGATTATGGTTATTACTACAACAAGTGTTAGGTTTAATATTTCTCAATAAAATTAATTAGATATAGAAACTATTTTATTGATTAAACAATAAGTTGTTATTTTTAATTTGCCTTTAAATATTTAGCATATGATTTTATTTTTTATTGGTTGTTCCAAACATTACAAAGCTCTTGACATATCATATTTCATACATTAGATTCAAGTGGGTTATGAACTCCCATTTTTACCCCAAATACAGATTGCAGAATTACACATCCACATTTTTACATAATGCCCTATTAGTAACTGTTGTATTCTGCTCCCTTTCCTATCCTCTACTATCCCCCCTCCCCTCCCCTCCCATCTTCTCTCTCTACCCCATCTACTGTAATTCATTTCCCTCCTTGTTTATTATCCCATTCCCCTCACAACCTCTTATATGTAATTTAGTATAACAATGAGGGTCTCCCTCCATTTCCATGCAATTTCCCTTTCTCTCCCTTTCCCTCCCACCTCGTGTCTCTGTTTAATGTTAATCTTTTCTTCCTGCTCTTCCTCCCTGCTCTGTTCTTAGTTACTCTCATTATATCAATAGCATATGATTTTAATCTCATTATCATAGTTACTCTCCCCATAGACTTTTCTGGATGCCTGTGGGTAAGACCATGTGCAAAAATAACATAATTGTTTATTGTAAGAAATATGCTATGGACTTAATTGTGTAACCATAAATTCATATTTTATTTATTTTTATTTTTATTATTTTTTAAAATTATTTATTTTGGGGTGCTGGGGAGAGAACTCAGGGGCACTCGAACACTGAGCCACATCCCCAGCCCTATTTTGTTTTTTATTTAGAGACAGGGTCTTACTGAGTTGCTTAGTTCCTAGGTTTTGCTGAGGCTGGCTTTGAACTTGTGATCCTCTTGCTTCAGCCTCCTGAGCCGCCAATCCAAATTCATATTTTAAAATTCTAACCCCTGTATGACTAAATTGAGTCACTACATCTGGTCTTTGGAAAATAATTCAGATAAATAAGAACATAAATATGGGGTTCTAATCTGAGAGGATGGTGGTATAATAAGAAGGAGACAATGATTTCTGTCTTTCTGCAAAGTAAACACAGTGAAAAGGTTGCCATCTGCAAGCCACTAAAAGTCCTCATCTGGAACTGACTGTGATGGCATCTTGATCTTGGACTCCCAGCCTTCAGAACTTAGAGAAATAAGTTTCTGTGTTTAAGCTACCTAGTCTACTCTATTTTGTTATGGAAGCATGAGTTATCTACTACAAAAATGTAACATTATATTTGGGAGACGATATAAGTATTGTTATTCATGTATATTTATTGAATCTCCAGATCACTACTCAAAGTGATCTGGAGATTCAATAAATCTCTATAAAAGTTACAATAATATATATATATATATATATATATATATATAAAATATGTATATATATGAGATACAAGACAAATACAACTATGTGAATTCTGATGATGTTTAAATTAGAAGGGTTCCCCATTTTTAAACAATATGCTTTAGTGCCTTTCCTTTTATTAAGTAAAAGCACTGTTTTTGAAGAAGTCTTGAAAGTCAACATGCAGACAATATTTTTTTCCTCAGCCAAAGAATACATGACTTATAGTCTTTTTATGAGATAGTATTTACACATGATCCCTTAATCATTAATGTTTCTAAATTACTATTTACTTAAAACATAAATTCTTGCTCTATGTTTATTTTTTGCTGTACTCTACAATGCTATTAAAGTATAATTTCTCAGTATTTCTTTTGTTTTTCTTTAATGATATGACTAAGTGCCAAATGGCTAAAACTAAATATCAGCTCTCAAATATATATTTTCAGGGATAAATAAAGCTTTACATCATTATGGGAGTCATTCATTTCTTAATAATAATAAACTCAGTGCACTAGTAGTTTAATAATGTTACTTTTATGGTTTTAAATTTTAAGCAATTCACTCAATGTCATTTTATGTCAAATTTACTGCTGCAAAGACAAAAATTGGGGGGTAAGTATTTTATATCAAGGAAAAGCTCACATAACAATTTATATCTGAAAAAGTAAACTGAGAAAATAACCTTTTACAAAATATTTTTTTCTTAAATAAATAGACTCAGCTAGATGCAGTTGTGCAAACCTGTAATATCAGCTACTGGGGAGGCTAAAAGGCAGGAGGATCACAGGGTCAAGGCCAACCTCTGTAACTTAGCTAGATCCTGTCTCAAAATAAAATAAAATGGGCTTGGGATGTAGCCCAGTGGCAGAATATTTACACAGCATTATGTGACTTTGAGTTTGATCCCCAGAACCCTAAATAAAATTGATACTCATTGACACAATTTTAGTGTAAGGCACCCTGATTGAATGATAAACTGTTGAGTATAAACATAAGAGGTCTCCTTAATTTAATAAATTATACCATTAGGATTATTATTAGAGGTTATTTGATTTATAATTAGAGACTAGAGATTTCTGCCTCTTTGTCCCCCTACTTTTTTGGCAGTGCACATTAGGCAAGGATTCTATCACTGAGCTATATCTCCAGTCCTAAGACTAGAAATTGAAGAAACACAAATAAATTGAAATATATCCTATGTTCATAAAGACATAGCTAAAATGTTCATACTACTCAAAGTGATCTGTAGATTCAATAAATCTCTATAAAAGTTACAATAAATATATAAAGGACTTATATATTTATATAAGATATAAAGGACTTAACTGCCTATTCATACTATCTCATTAGCTATGTGGAGTGGGTTATACAAGATATGGCCACATGGGGAAATAATTTCTGTGGCATGAGCCAATTTCATTACACTAAATATGATCTACATGGAAAGTGTCAGCTCTACTAGAACAATTATAAATACATGATAGTTTATAATATTCACCAGTCTCCAAGTCATCATACATAGATATATACAAAGGAAACAAGGCAAATTTAAAACAAGGAACATTTTTATAACTACCTGATGGGCCTAAAAAACCTCCCTGAGTTCATATACTTTTCAATATAGTATCAAGGTGAACCTCACTGATTAATTATTGTTTCTTAAGAATTACATATAAGCTGGGTGCAGGGATACATGACTCTATTTCCAGCAACTCAGGAGGCTAGTGCAAGAGGATCCCAAGTTTGAGGCCAGCCTTAGCAACATATCGAGACCCTGTCTCAAAATTAAAAATTTTGAAAAGGGCTGGGGATGTAGGCCAGTGGTAGATTGCCCCTGGGTTCAGTCCCTATTACTAGAAAAAAAAAAGAAAGAAATTACACATGAAAAAATACATGCCTGTGTGAGGAAAAAAAGACAAAGAGAATGACAACAAGGATTTCTGTGCAGTTTATAAGGAAAGTGGAAAAGTAGTTTGTGATCTCAACATGCACGCACCTTCGCACCCAGCTCATTATAATGCAATTTCAAAGCTGTCACTCTTTCATCAAGCTCTTTGGGGTTTTCCGTCTGCTTCTTCTGTACAATTTGACGTCCGGTTTTTATCACCATTTCCACTTCAGACTTCACCTCACTCAGACTTTTATACAAATTCTAAGTTAAAATATAAAATGAAACATAAGAAACAATGTAAAATCAACTCATAATATTAAAAAATACAGGGTTTCACCTTAAGGCTGTTTGGTTTCCATTTTTAATGGAGTAGTATTTGCAGCTGTTGTTAATATATAATGTTTGCATTTCTTTTAATTTAATGTTTCTATTTGTGATTATATATATATATATATATATTATATAAAATCATGCATAATTTGCAGCTTTTCTTATTATAGTAGGAGTGCATCATACATATTTAGTTCTTTAGTCCAAGCTCATAAAGGTCATTCTAAATATTACAAGATTTCTGTTTGTTAAGCATTAAATAATCCTAGCCATGAGTTTGGATGAATCAATTCACTCAATCACTGGATATTTACTAGTGTCTATCATGTACCATAGAGTATTTGAGTCACAAGGGAATCTGTAGTGATCAAATCAACATGTTCACTGTTGTCCTCATGGTGCTTAGGGTAAAATTTTCAGATGATAGTTTCAAAATATATTGTCATATATAAGAATTGTGGGAACTAAATTTAAATATATTAATTCTAATTTTTTTCTTTTTGGTACTGAGGCACTTAACCACTGAGCCACATCCACAGCCTATATATATAAATAAAATTTAGAGACAGGGTCTCACTGAGTTGCTTAGGAACTTGCTAAGTTGCTGAGGCTGGCTTTGAAATCATGTTCCTCCTGCCTCAGCCTCTTGAGCCGCTGGGATTATGAATGTATGCCACTGTGCCCAGCTCAAATTATTTTTAATTAACCATTAAATTTAATATTAAATAAATTAATCTTTCATTTCTCCTGGAAAAATATGTGTTTGTAGTATAGGTTCATGTATTTTTGTATATGTACACTATATATAATGTTTTATAATATAATTTGTTCAGCACTAAACACAAATTACTTATTATTACTAAGAAATAAACTTGCTAGTAGATAATAGTCTCAGAATAAAACTGGGTTTGTTTCCACTTTTCAGTTTAAAATCAATGTGCAAAAGAAGCACTTTGTAAAGGCTGAAAACTTTCCTGATTAATTAAGGCTATGGGCATAGTCTATTTCCATCTTAATTCCCTGTTTGATATCTGATGGTAATATTCCTTTATCAATAATTATGACTTATGTTTGGGCTTTCCAGATTACTTTTACTTCATCTTCCTTCTGTCTTAGAAGATGTCAAAAAATATATAGGCATCTGGAAACATTGAGATCATTTCTTGCTATATGGCAATCTATTATATGACTTTTGGAATCAGAGATATTTCCAAATGTCTTATTCTTTATATTGAAAAATATCTTACTCATTTATCTTAGATGAAAGGTCACATATATATAATACTTAATAATATATATAATACTTATAAAGAACAAAATGCTAAATAAACATTTCCACTTTTAATGCTAATAATATTCAGTGGTTCGTTTTAGGTGAATTTAAACCATGATTACTCTGAATATACAGTTATAATAATACTTATATTGTTTTCCTAGACACCCTCACACTCCAGTTTATGTTGTCAAAGGGATCACCTGACTTGGTGAATTTCTAATAACAGAAAGAATAGAACATATTCCAAAGTCAAATTAAAACACAATTTGGAGTAAGAGTACTTGGGATATAATCTTGCTATGCCCTTCACAGTTGTTTGTCTTTGTATCCTCTTATGTAATCCTTATCCTCAAGAATAGAGATGACTTGTGTACATTACTTAGCTTACATGGCCTCCTTTGTTTCTGAAATCGTTATTTATATTGAAACTAGTGATATAGTAGTTTCATATAGATCAATATGCTTCCTTTCTTGATTTTCATTTAAATATATGTAGAAAGTGCCATAAGAATCATATAAAGACCTCTTCTGCATTCTTCATAGTCCTTAGAAGAATTTGACATTCAAAAGACACTTAAAGAATGGCATTTAAGTGGTTCCAATTACAGTAAGAGTTACTGTCTCTCAATACATGGCCAATTTTTGTTCTTAACCTTAAACCTAATTAGTTTATTTATTGCAGTTATCTAAAAGCAATTTTCATAATAAGGAAATTCAAGGGATAGCTGGTTACTTGCCACAAGGTATACATACCACACAATGATTTAACTGTGACTGTACTACTTCCTGTTCAACACTCTTTGTTTCCAGTGCAGGCAAGTGCATCTTCACTTCATCTAAAATCATTTTACTTTCTTCTAGACGCTGTTCAAAATTAGCTGGTTTCTGGAATAATCGAAACTTCATAGAGACATCCTGCAATTTTTTCTGTAAAAACAATGTAAGGAGGCACCAATTTTATTTTACCTTCCATAAAACAGTCATATTTTTATTAATGCATTTTCTTTCCAAAAATGAAAAGTAAATATTTTTTCTAATCATCAAACAAAAAGAATACACATATTTGAGAAAATAGTGTTTTTCCTTAGTCTGATATGAAGTAAAAAATAATCTGTTAATATTTTATCTTTAAAAGGCACCAAATCAAGAAAGCCCACACAGAGGCATTATAGTCTAGTTTTTGAATAATGCTTTCAATATCACTGTTGCAGAAATCAACACGCCTAATATACACTAGAAGTTTAATGTGTAGATGAAACAAGATCCTTAGTTTATGTAATAAAATATACCTGTGCAACATCAATTTGGGATAGAACTCTTTGGGTAGCCTCTTTTCCTTGGTTATGTTTCTTCATTTCTTCTAAACTGATCTCATGACTTGTCAATTCTGACTGGATTTTCTGTTGGGAGAACAGCATTATTAGCTAGAATAATCTGAATGTTACTACAAAGGACAATCCATTTTCCATGAAGATAGAATTTTAAAACTCTCCTAAACCATTACTAAAATGTAGTCTCCTTTAAAATGATAGTAACCACTTTCTTGCCTATCATAAATTATCAAAAACTCAATCATTTACTACTTCCCTATTGGGATAATACTGAAAACTAAATGATCATTTTGACTAAATGATAACAACCAGCTATGTCAGACATCATTTGCAACCAGGGAATTTTCATTTATATCTAATATGTAGAAGTGATACTGTTTTATCTTTGAAATTACACCCCCAAATGACCAATAACAAGTTGTTAATATTTATAAATAAGCTGTTTTACAGGGATAATATATGATGAGAAATTTGCATATGAATAATGTTCCTTAATAGTGATCTTCAATCATTCTTTGCCATATTTCATTTAAATTTCAGGGAAACTATAGATCTAGAAAAGAGAAGTAAAATGTCTCAACTGTCATTTCTCTTTGTCTGATAGACACTTAATAGCTTCCTACAGATATTCATTTATAAACTCTGAGAAACTGTAAATTTTATTTCCATATTTTATATACTCAATAAGGACCTTAAAATTTCCACTCAAAATATATTTTTAGTTGACTTATGAATTTTTAACCCAGTTATAGGTATTTATCAAATCCTGCAGTGTGCAGAAAACAAATTAATAAATTCATTCATTTCTTTCTGTCAGCTCCAGCAAAAATCAGCTAGTAGTCAAGTTGTTTTAATTTAAAATTCATTGCCAGATCATCATACATGAGAGAAGAATAATCTTAATATGTACCACAGTGCCCATAAAATTATCATGCAAAACAATTTGTGTACTGTATATTAGTATACAATAATTTTTAACAATTAAAGTCAATTCTTGTACGTGTTATTAGAAAATATCATTGATTTTGCTTAGCAATTACTACAAAGAGATATAGCCTTCAATTGAGTAATGAAAATTATAATAAGAAAATGGGCTCAGTGTTGGATGAGTTCCTTCAGATGTATGGTTACAAATTCCAGACATATCTTAATATAATTCGGTAGCATAATGATCCTAAAATCACAAAGTTACATCAATTATGAATTAGTTAAGTAATAAAAATTCTGCCTTTAAATTATAGGCTAAGGTAAATGTATATTTTAATATATATATATATATATATAATATTTTCATTGGTTAAGTAACTATCATGTGTGGAAATAGTGATATGTTCTTATTCTTCAGAACCCATATAATCTGGGGGATAGGAATTGATCTGGATATCCAATGATATTTTCAGAACAAGAAATGCTGAATAATCTACAAAATTTAGTGGGAGTATGTAGATGGAGTGACACTTATACAGGGGGGTTAAATGTTGCCACAGGGAAAGTGGTAAAGTAGAAATGTGACTGATTAGTAAACATTGCAGTGAGTAGCAGATGCTATAGGAAATTTATGGTCAATACTTTTCATCTATGAAATGCTCAACCCCTTCAAAAATATGGAACATAACAACCATGTCTGTGTCACATAATTCTGGCCACCATCAACCTCATGAATAATTAGAACATGGAAAATGCATGTGTAGAGATATATCCATTAGATTTCTTCTAAAATATTTAGAACCAACAGTAAAAAGTCTGGCCAAATTCAGTGGATATTTAAAGCTGTATTTTGAAATTGTTCTTATGCAATTCTAGCTTATGGTTCTGATTTAAAAAATGCAAAATCTACTAACAGAAAGTTTGAACTGGAATTTATTTCCCAAAGATGACTGTAACTGCAGTACCCACAACACAGGCTATTCTCACCACTCCCCTGTTAAGTGGGTTTATTTCTTCACTTCTTTAAATCTGAATTGGTGTTTGGACTTCCTGGGACAATAGAATACAGTTACAGTAGAAGCGATTCTCCATCAGTTACATCAAAAGTCCGTATCTGACCTGATGGCTCCTACTTCTGTCTTTTTGGAACCCTCACTTTTAGGGTGCTGTCTCTTAGAATCCATTTAAAATAGTATGTTCCAAGAAGTCCAAGCCACATGAAGAGGCCATAGGTAAATACTTCAGTAAATAATATCAAGTGATCTGACAGCAGGCAACTGCTAGCCATGTGAGTGAGTCACTTTGGTGTCCAACCCAGTTGAGTTTCCAGGTTCTTCTACTACCAAGTAACTATACTATCAGCTAACAAGTAACTATAGTTATAGTTAGATATAGTTAGATAACTATAGTTTATAGTTAGATACCCCCTTGGGGTATATGGTATAAATATAGTAGATACCCCAAGGAAGAACATCCACTTGAGCCTTTTTTAAGTACACAAAACCATTAGAGATAAGGATGAATGGTTGTTACCAATGACCAACACATGAGCTCTAGAGTCTTTCTGAGTAAAAGCTTTTCTGTTGCCCATAACTTCCTTGAGACATCATATATGCTTATGGAAAAATTTTCTTAACCAATTTTTTGGCTTTAGTTATTTCAATTGTTTTTGTGTACATAGGATTCCTAACTAATGTACTGGATATGTAAGGCAACATAATTTCTATTTTTTAAAAAGCATTTCAGGTTGAGAAATAACAAGATGTGGAGACAAGGCACTAAAATGTACAAGGAATTTGGCAGAAATATAACTGGAAATGTAGGTAGAAATTAGCAATTAAATGGCTTTATATCCTAAATGAATGTCTTTTAGTACTATGAAAATGAAGCACACTTTAAAATTTGAGACGATTAGAAATGAAAAATAATTTCAGTAAAGTTACAGAATACAAAATCAGTACAAAACCATTAGCATTCTTATACAACACTAGTAAATTTGCTGAGAAGGACATCATGAAAGCAATCCCATTCATGGGAGCTACAAATTAAATAAAAACCTATTAATAAATTTAACCAAGGAAGTGAAGTACCTCTACAATGAAAATTACAAAACACTGATAAAAGAAAATGAAAAAGACACAAAAAATGGAAAGTCCTCCCATGTTCATGTTCTAGAATAATATTAAGATGTCTACACTACACACAGTAATTTACATACTCAATGAAATCCCCATAAAAACAACTCAGTATTTTTTAGAAAACGAGAAAAAAACAACTGTAGAATACTGATTACTAGAGGGTAGGAAGGGTATGGGGTGAAAGGGAGGAAGGACAAAAGAAGATTGGATTTGAACAGTATACAATGAAGATATGTGTTGAAATATTACACTGAACCACATTAATATATACAACTAATACATGTTAATCAAAATAATTTTTAAAATAAAATGATCATAATTATAAATAATAGTGTTACTGATAATACTCAAAGCAACTGAAGAAACTCACAGTGAGACTGTGTCACTATCAATCAGCAATATTTTGAAATAAGCTGATACATTTTTTATCACAATAGAATATGTATTTGTATGCATATATACAGAAAGTTAAGGAGAGGGTGTCAATGTATCTTTGTATGATATGTATTTATTTTGATGTTTTCAAACATTAAAGAGAAAAAGTAAGGGAGGGAAATGAGAGACTCATGGAAAACACAGGCATTTAGGGGGCATATAAAAAAGAACACCAAAAAATGGGGGGATCTATTTAGAAGAATAAGATAACCAGGACAGAGAGAATGTCATTTTAATCAAGTGATGTAAGAATTTTAAGACTTAGAGGGAGGTCAACAATTTCAGTTTTGAGACAGATCAAATGAGATAAGTAGCAATAAGGGTACATTAGCTGGTCAATGAGCACTGTATTTGGGACAGTGTCAGTAGATAATGAGAGCTGAAATCAGATTTTCAAGGGATGAAGCCTGATTAAGGATCATGAAGCATCCTTATGAAAATAATTTTAATGGTTTTTGAAGACTTTGACTCAACACATATTGAAATTCAGGTCAATCAGATTAGAATATGTTTTAAGGCTACATGAAGGCAGCTAATGGGTAAAGTCATTTTTAAAATCTAAGAAGTGATTAGAAAAACCCTATGGAAAGAAAGGAATTGGAATAAAGAACAAAGGTCATATATAGTGGCAAATATTGATAGGGGAAGTAGTAGCACTTTTTCAGAAACCACAATACAAAAAAAAAAGATATGTTTTGATGTGGAGAGGCAAGAAGTTGAATTCTTCCTACTTGATGCTCTTGAGTAACTAGATTGAAATAGCATCAGGAGAAATAACAATGTAGGTCTCCGGGCTCTGACTTGCCACCTAGGACAAAGCACTAAAATGTTCTGAGTCTCAGTTTTCTCATCTTCAAAAAAGATGACAACTCAGCAATGGGGCTTGATTAGAATGAGTAGGCAGCACATCTTGAAAATTCTCATAAATAGACCAAAAGAATAGATGAGATAGTCTATGTAAAAATATCTGTTCAAGTTGTTTGTGCAAAAATTATTCACAAATTGTCAGTGATTATATTTTCTTATAAGGATGAGACCTTTCCTATATCCTAATCAAATTATTGTAAGCATTTACCATATTTATTTACAAATGAGGGTAGAAATATTAACATACTCAAGGAAACATCGCTACAAAGTAAATTCAATTATCTTTAAACTATTATACTGACTGTTAAACTATAATTTAAAACTAAAAATATCTCCCAGATGGACATGTATCACACAAAACAGAAATGTAATCTAGCTTGCATATTGATAACTGAATTAAGTAAGTAAGTGTTAACAAGTTATTCAGCATGCACTATTCAATTTCACAAAGTGAGAAAAAAGTCTTTTATCCTATTTAGGCAGAATGGAGTAAGATAAGCAGATTACAAAGCAGAAATATATGTTATATTATTGAAAAAATTCTATGCAAAGAGGAATGTTAATATTTATTATAAAACCTGGTAAAATTTTAAGATGTTTGCATAATTGAAATTGTATATGGCCATAAAGGGGTTTTGGCAGGGTACAGACTAAGAAAATGTGATCTCAATCTAGCCAGTGGGAATCACAGCAGCAAAGATG